GGTGAGCAGGTGGTTTGTTTAATCTTTATTTTGGTCTGGTTCTTTGTCTAGAGGAGGTTCGTGAGTGAAAACTGTCCAAAAATAGTCAGCCATTGCCTCTGCTTTTTCCTGATCTTTCTCTATCATTTTAGACTCTATTCCTTGTTTGATGAGGTTGGGAATCCAATGATGCATCCTTGTTCTATAGTTTATGTACGAGAATATTCTCTTGGGCTGATTAAGTGCAGATTGTGCCAACTGCATTTCCTATTTCTTTTGAGCTTCCCGAATTTTTGTTATACACGTGTTTCTTACCGACCCGTAGGGTTCCATCGTACCTGCCGTGCCAAGGCGGATGGCAACATTCCAACATTTCTTCTTTTGTTTTAATATAGGTCGAATATCCTGGCCTATCCAGGGATGGCCATGCTTCATCTTTTTGGGACTGTCCAAAGTATGTATGGTTGAGTTACCCTATTGTGTAGCTGCTTGAAATGAGTCCATGCCTCTTGTACGGATGCTCTTGAGTCAGTCTCCCAGTTTTCAGCCGATGTTGTGGTGTTGATTGAGTCCATATTTGCTTCCCATACGTTAGGGCGGGCCGGCGCAACTGTCTGACAGGCAATCTCAGTCATGAATTTGAATAATATGACTGCATGGTCACTTCTACCTAATGGTGGGATGAAAGTAATTTGAGCAAAGTCATCACCGTGTGTGGAGACTAAGTCTAAAGGAGAAGGGGATTTTCTTAAGTTGTATCTTGCGGGATTTCTAATGTGTTGGAATAAAGCTGATGCAATCGAGGTTTCTAACATCGTCTGTGGCGTTTCAACAGGTAATACCCACCCTTTTATCCCTAAAGTTTACCGGCGATTAGTATTTCTACTGCTCCATGATCTTTCACACTCCGGGATCCGAACTACAACAAAAGTCATCAGGAAACGTTTTTCCAGCCGAAAATTAACTGGAACGTAAAAATGTGATCAAGAAACTTCACACAATGTTAGCGCAGTGTATGATCAATGCCAATGGAAAATTGTCATTATGCGACAGACGTTTCCAACAACTTCATATAGATATCGTCGGTTACCTCTCACATTTCAACTCTTTCACTCACATCATTATCATTGTTGACAGGTTTACCAGGTGAAAAACAGCATGTCTCGTTAAGGATACGTAAGCAGAGTCGACAGCTCAGTATTCCTTTACTATTGTGTATCAGATTATCGATTGCCATTACAACCCGTACAGGAAGATGTTCCTACTATCAATTTGTCCAGTCCTAGGAGTCTTTGGTGGCACTGGACATCAACCACACAATCCTCAAAGTTGAACACGAGATAACTGGGAAAATACATATTCAACATTTAACTCAGAGGAAAGAATTAATTCAATTCAATCAGATGGCATGGCTCAACCTCGCAGGCGTGGTTATCCCTGTGTAACTTACCTCTTTTATTCATACTAAATATATTGTCCAGCTTAAATATGTTCTCCATCACATATTGGTGATTGTTACTATACGATGAGTTGGTGTAGAAAATGATGTGACTTCTACATAAGATATTATGAATTAGGCGGTAGCATCATGATAAATCTACAATTTTAGGACTACATTTATTACTAGAGCAGTACTAACAACGAATTAGACGATAATTGTACAAGTTCACCAGACTTTTAGGAGTGGAGCATATAAAGACAAAAACTTAATATTTGGCATCGAGTGAATCATTCGAAAGATTTCGCCGTCACTCAAATGCTCGGTGATGTCATGGACTGACACAACATAATGGAATGACGTTTTACTACCATTCCTCCATGAGCTTCATTTTAACAAGTTAGTTATATGCTGAACATCAGCTGAACAATTCTACAGTAAAATTCTGGTCTTCATGAATCAACCAGTTAACCCCTATCGAAAATACATTAGGCGATAGAACGCGTTTTGCAGGCTGTTTATTACAGACTATTCAGCAGAATAATGCGATACCTACGCTTGAACATGGTTATTATGTACGACACAAAATATATCTACAGACATGCGCATTCATTTTTGTCCTCGTCGATGTCATTCGAAAACCATTAAAGTAGCCGTATAAAAAACCTTACCGAGTGATCGAATGGATAACTAGACACTTCATCATTGACAAAAAGGACAAGAGAGAAACTCAATCGATAGATAGAATAAAATCTGCTTTTTTCGATGACCAACAGACGAAAGAAAATACTATTTTAAATAAGCAGTCTCAACCGTTCATTGCAGCGAAGCCAGAGAAAAACGAGAAACTGAGTGTCAATCATACATGTTTTACATGTTCAAACGGAAGAGTAAGGAAAGTATAAACGCAAATCACTCCAGATCAAACAGATTGAGATAAAATGTAAATACCTGAGTCCAAGAACGGATTTCGCGATTTCGCTTTGGATAGTTTTTCAAGTAATTATATTCTCTGGAGCTAGAGATGAATAAAACTCTGGAAATATCTTTTTCCGTACTGGTCAACTTGGAATTTAAATATTGTGGCGTGTGATGTGCTCGTGAAATTTTTTCACAATTAGGATTGGATTTAAAGTCACAAAGGCCTGAAACCATCATATATTTCACATCTAGTAATGCTCAAACTGCATGTGCAGTTTGTCTTGTGTTACGAAATGTCCGCCTTAAGCTATTAAGATTTTAAAGGCAGCTTATAATAATCTGTCAGACTACAATCTGATGACATCTTCTAGAAGTTCTAGTATGTCTTCGAAAATTTCCATTTTATACTTTCACAATCTTAGCAGCAGGAAAATTCCGCAAAAATGATACTATAGTATGTTCTTTGTGATCATGAGGTGCATAACTGATCCTAACACTGAACCGCTTCAGATATCAATATGAGAATCGGAAAGTAGAATGTCGAAATTCTGCATTGGTTCATTTTTAGGAATTGTCCATTGATAAACGTGTAAACTACAACCCAAACAACAGAGAACAGATTTTATACAGATACCAACATTTTTACGTAAATTACAAGTTGTCACCACAGAAATATTATTTTAATAATAATTTACGAACAAGACTTTCAAGGCAAAATTTTCAAAATAGCAAATGAAAACAGTAGAGGATTGAAAATATCCAGGATTTCAGTTATAAACAAGCAAGTTCGGAGTTCAAGTAAAACGAATATATCCGAAATCCAGCCAAAATAACGACACGGTTATCAACCAGCTAAATATTTGAATTCCTCCCAGGGTATATACTCAAAAACAATGAGTGATGAACGCTGATATGAAACAAATGGTCACGTGAATGAAACCTAACCTAGACGACCAAAAGTAACTGCGAATTCATCTGTTTGGGTTTAGTGCTAATACCGCACAAACAGCCTGATGAAAGGTGTTATATCAAGAGCCTAGATTCTTAATATACCGCGTATGACTTGAGCAGTTGGCATGAGATTTGAATGGGTCATCTTTTAATTTAGGTTCATTTGATGCGTTAGAGTTTCTAGAATTCGAATTTGGAACTGTTCGCAACGTTTTTCTTGACGCTCCAGAAAAGCTTCAACTTGGCCAAAGGTAAATAACATCTTCATAAGTTGAACCCGTAAACGTAAGAGGACATATACTAATATTTATCTGAGCTTTCAGCATAAATTTAATACATTCAGATCTCCGACATAACCGCAGCTATCCAAGAATCAAACATAAATTAATTTGGAATCAGCTATATCCCTTATATGCCTTGCATTGATGCATGTACACATCACTAAAAATGTATGGATACGTAATGAAATACCTTATTAAAAGGTTTTGACGTAAGAAAAAGTTGAAGTGAGATTTACGTAATTTGCCTGACAAATATTTTAAGCTGAAACTAAGAGTTGATGATTTATTAAAAGAACCATATGTAAAGCGCGATTCAAACGGAGTTACTTCGAGGAACATAATTAAAATAACGGATGGTTTAAAATATTTTTCTCTCTCTCTCAGGTATACTACAACAATAATTTGATACGATAATGAAACTACTAACATCATATCAGATCCAACCCAGAATAGAGAATCAGAGCAACAATAGATAATACTTTATTCCACACAATTACAAGCAGTCGTTCTCAGGAAGTCTGGAGTAGAAATCGATGACAGGAAGGGAAATAACATCTTCAACAGCTAGTAGGCTAAGTATCTGTTTTTGATGGAGTTTTGTTCTCTGAGCTGGATCATCTAGCTCTCTCTCTCTCTGTATATATATATATATATATATATATATATATATATATATATATATATAGAGAGAGAGAGAGAGAGAGAGAGAGAGAGAGGAGAGAAAGAGGGGAATTCTGGTGTGGTTTCGTTCTTAAGCTTATATTTGTGCTTACAACTACTCAATGGAAGGAGACGTTTTTCAGCTAGATATTGGGAATATTCATAAACTATGACTATTGCCCCTATTATTTCAAGCCCAACGTTGACGTGGACTTAGACATTATATTTCCTTTCTATTTGTTACTTGATTCTCAATATTATTCTGTTGTCAACTATTGTTAGTCGTTTACTGATTATCTTCACAGACGTCTTATGTAGTAATGTCTCCTTTTATTGGGACAATAAAATGTCCCTTACAAAAGGCACGTCTTCTACTGAGCATTACGCAAGTTGTTTTATAACAGTTGATGATATTTTGTTCTAAATCTCGTTAAGTCATCAACTATCTTGCTATGCTCATACCAACTGTAGAACATAGGTTCGGTTTCTAAGCTTTTGAGTAATTTAGTCAACATTAAGGTGTTCAGTATTTTACAATAATCTAACTACTTATCTATGAAAATAAATATGAAAGTAACTATGGAGACATTTCTAACACCTAGTGTACATATAGCAATATATCAGGACCAAAAAATAGATGTTAAATTATAACAGTAATAATTTTCAATTATTTAGACCGTATGTACTTGGTCTTGATTGAGTAATTATCAAAGTGCTTAGTGCACGTAAGCATTTCAAAATATTCAATTAAGTGAAAATGATCACGAGTTATAACGTAATACTCAAATTACAAAATGAATACATTACTTTTTACATCAAATAGTGTTTTGGCGATGAAAACATATATGAAACACACATTTAGATGTTATGTAGTTTCAAAAGCATAATATTGACTAACACAGTGTGCTTGATAAATCTTCGTGTAAGTTGTTGAGTCTAAGCAAGAAACACGTTATGAGATGTAAGACTAACTAAAAAAACAGGATACAAACAGTATGTACAATACTTTGAAACATAAGCTGAATAGTACTTAAAAATAATTTAACATTTACTGTTTGTCATACTATTTTGACAGTTTAAAGGTAATAAACATAACTGTCCAACCTTCAATATCTGAAACTTAAACAAGAAGAAAAAAAACAGTAATATGTATGTATATATAAATGTAGATATTTGTGCACCATACTAACCAAACAGTTGGGTAAAGCACTGATGACAGTATGGTTTACTTGAATGTTCTTTAAATGTACCGGTTTGTAATGGATGTAAACAATAAGCACATAAAAAGTGCTCTGGATGATAACGTTTACCAAGTGCATTTACACACCTTCCAGTAATTGGTAATGAACATGCAGAGCATAATAATCCACGTCTTGAGTAATAGTGAGAATCACAGTAAGGATATCCTTCAATTTCATGAAAACTTGATCCAGTGAGTATTCTATTACAATCCTGTATTAAAAAAGGAAAATTATGGAGGGGATTGGAAAGGTAAAGTTGAACTAGATAAGACAGGAAATATAAATAAAGCATATTGTTTGATCATCAGACTGTGAGTGACTTCAAAAATTTTGGTTTACTAATAATACGAGTGGTTAATTAATTTCTTTCATACAGTGGATTGTGTACAGTTCAAATTTTCTACTGAAGCGTGTGTCATCCATTTATATTCTCAAAGTACAATGAAATCTCTAAAATATTTATAATAGCTAAAAATTGATGTACACTATGAAATCTTTGAAATTGTCACTTTTTCAAAAAAACATCATTTTTCGATTGTACCACATTAGTCGATTACTACTCATTGATCAAATGTAACATATTTCTAAACTATATTCCTTCACAAAAAGGTACAGATATATGAACGGAAAATATCATTTTCAATAGGTTTTTATCAGGAACCACAATTACAAATTCAAATTATTGGTCTAAAAGAATGTCAAGTTTGAAACAAATGCATGTTTTGAAGTTATAGTATGTGAATTTACGATTGCAAGTCAGTCATTCTGTCCGATTAAACGTTGAACGTGGTAATTATGTACATCGGTTCGATTCGCCGAACCGCAGTTGTACAACAAAACGAAGATTTTAGGTCAAATCCCAGGGTAGTTGAGATAGCAATAATATCAATGGTAATAAACAAGATTGGGCATGGAGGATACGATTCAAGAAAATATAGCATAATTAGTGAGAAGTGCTTGAGAAATTTGGAAACATGTGCTCTACAAAAAGACGAAGGAAATATAAGTTAGTGAAATAAAAAGAGTATGAGGAATTTAAAAACCCGAAATTTAGGCGAAAACAAAGAGCGAATTCACCCGTACCCCTGCAAACGATTTTGCCAACGTCATTCAAAGTCTCTAACTACTAGTTACGATAATCACGCTGTCATGACCAGGTATTCTATACCCACCTACATGGCTCAGTCCAATTGTCAATGACTTCATGGGCTAATGCCGCATTTTAATCTAACCTATATCAGTGTTCTTCCAACCTATTTTTATTCGAGAAAGCATCACTCTTTAGAGAGGAGGTGGTTAGGTTTACGTAACACATAACCCCACCGCCTCAATTGATGAAGATCTACTACCTCATCAAATGATTTGTAATATTTACCTAATACCGTATTTCAGACTCAGATGTTGCTTACTCGGTGGTCCAAAAATACAGGAGTGACGTTCCGAAGACACCTGTGGTCGAAGAGGAATCTATAGATATCCTCTGTCCTTAATGGCTATGCTTACACCCGCAAAAGAGAACGAAGCGAACAGTTGCACAGAAAATTCGTCGGACGAATATCTCGCTTACGCTACAAACCAAGTGATTGTTTGTAAAATATAATAACGTTAAAATAACTAGTAAGCGGTGTTAACTTGAATTGGTTTATACTTTACATAGGATTGTAAGAATATTACAAATAAATGTAGACAGCATATGGTGAAAGAAATAATAATTCAATTACACATGGAACTAAATGTTTGGTCAGAGATATGTGAATATACATAACCTTAACGATTATACTTCGTTTTACAAATGATCCTGAATTTATACACTACTATATTCAAGAATGCTTTAATGTTAGCCATCTCCTTCAACAATTAATTTGGATTTATAATTGTCAAAACTGAAAAGAATTTACTGGAAAAAATTCTTGATTCACATATCTATACTTTCAATACGGTGACAATTTTTAAGCAAAAGAATTTAGAAGAAAGTTGTCAAAAGTAGAGGTGCAATCAAAATTGATTGAATGAAATGACTTACATGACAAGTAAAACAATCTTTGTGCCAAGGCATATCCAATGCAGTTATGTATGCATCTGTAATAGGTTGTTGACAGCCAGAGCATGGAGTTCCAAATCGTGTGAAATAGCAGTTACTTGATATAGAAAGAATTAATTTATAAGTTTTACAATTTAAAGGAAATAGTTTAAAATAACATTAAGTTTAGTTACTTAATAACGGAAAGTAAGCCATCAAATGTAAAGTCTTATAGTTAAGGAAGATTGGAAATTGTAACTGAACAAATCCTTATGAGTTATGAAATAAGTGAATTTTGTTGAAAACTACCTGCCTTAAATGTAGATTATAATTTATGATGATTTTGATCTATAAAATCAAACTAATAAAATTTATCATTATAAATCATAAGCAAATAAACATAGATTACATTAAACTGACAGTTTATTTAAAAATCAAATCACTTGTTTGTTTATTTGATTATGAATTTAATATTAGCAATAAGAGAAATGTTCTATTAGTCAGTTCTATAAACTCTTTAAGTTGAGATAAGTTATGAAAAATGTCTACATTGCGAATCGTCTTCACCTTTTTCTCTCTCGCTGACTGTTAGCCTAACTCCGGTGGTTAGCTCCAAGTTATTACAATGATAAAATTAATTCATACAATTGTCAGGATTAACTAAGGTAATTTGTTTGTGAAATTGATAAGCAAATTGCAACCATAGATAACCTAAAAGACAAGGCTTCTGGTCAACTAACTAAATATCTATAAGGTAATCGAAATTATGATTTATGAATAAAAACATCCAACTAAGATAATCTGACTTCTGATATAACAACTGATTGAACATAGATAAAAAATGTAGGCTTTGAAGTAATGATTGATTCTTTGCATTTGTTAATTCTAACACAGATGGAGTGGTTGCTTGGTAGTAATTTGTATAAAACTATATACATGAATTCAATTCATGAGCCCATAAAACGTTTTTACAGCTTTTTTCTTTAAATCACATATATCCTCAACCAAGTGAACCATATTAATATGCACATGAATTACTTATTTCTTATTCTTATCCCTACATAATCAGTTTCACTAGGCAAATAACTAAGTTCTTCTTCCATTGGTCTTGATAATGACTGTTTAACATTACGAAACTTACGAGCAGTAAAATTTGCCATTTTGTTCATGTACTGTTAACGATCCATTAAAAGTGGAATGACATTCGTAGCAAAAAAAGTGCTCAGGATGCCATGCACGTGCCAAAGCCAAAACACATTTCTAAAACAGTTGAAATAGTTTTATAAAAACTTAGGAGATATATTCATAGGAAAGGAATTTTTGTCATAAGTCGTTTTAAGTTAAATACGAAGCTTAAAAAATAAATTAAGAAATAGTGATTTTAGTAAACATTTCCTATTTCTTTACCCGTTTCCATGAATACTTTTAACTCATTTTGCCAAATATAATTTGAATATATTGAGATGAATAAAGTTTTTCAAATTATCAATTAAATAATAAAATTTAAAAATGAACAATGGTGATAAATATCTTAGTAGGTGGAAAGATAACAGAGCACAAAATACCTTAGTCCAAAAGTGATTAAAGTATGAACATAATATCATTCCCAAGATTTGGATAGATAGTAGATATAATATGGAAAAAATCCAGTATACAGTACCGAGTTCATATGAAGGGTTTTTGGAGTAGTTCAGATGTGATGGAGGACAACACTATCAAGTTGCACAAACACAAGCAGGTGGAAGTGACTTCAAATCTAATAATTCTTCAGTTTCAAATTAAGATATAAGTAGATCACCGAGCTTAAAAAACAATATTTATTCATAATTGAAGAATGCTGAAGATTATCTAACAACTGTGTAATTTCTATATTTTACACCTACATAAGACAACGAAAGTACGGAAAGTTGGATTAAGAAATTCGGAAATCTGCCGAGATCTATCGAGAAATGTACTTTATATAAAATACAAGTAGTATAATGTAATTTTAAAATATTTTGTAATTGTGTTGAAATATACAGTGTAAATAAACCAAAATTTAGCAAGTAATTTAATAAATTATTATTCCATCAGTTGTAAGATACTAGCTGCTATTCAAACAATAGTATAGACCAAGCGAATATATTTCACGTTATTTTTGGAACGGTAAGTAGTCGGTATTTTGAGGATTTTATAGATGGTAATCTAAAATATTCAGAAAGATACTTGAGATAGTTATATGTGAATAAACCATGTTCACGTATTCAAGCTATAATTCCTGTGTCATGGAAAACTAGACTTATATTGGTTCTTGTTTGTTTCATTTGATCCTTATAGTGTGATCGGTGATATATACACCTCTTTCAGTTAAAAAATAAGGATGATCACTGTCATATGCTCCAGGAACCAAAAGCCAACTAAAGATAGATGTTAGATGACAATGCACTATGTCTCTCATACGGAAACATGGAATCGATAGAAAGCCTGACTTCTTTCAAAACTTTCAATTAAGACCTTTGGATCTAATTGGGATAGTTTTATTGTCGATCGATTCTGTCAGAACCCAGTATCTTAATGATCATCAACATCAAAGCATTCACCATATGAAAGTTCTAAATGATATATGTTTCCCACTCTGACATAGATATTACCAATATCATATGGAAGAACAAGGCTTGAAATTCAATGCAAATAGGACCATTAGATTATGACTTACACTTCATGTAAGACAAGTGGATTCAAATCCATGATATGACAGTCGACAACTTACTGTCCAGACCATTGAAGTACAACCTCATACAATCAAAGAGTACTGGACAGTAGTTAGATCTTTGTCCAAGAAGATTTTCAAGAAAAATATACTTAACTATGTTGACTTGTAAACTCTAAGCCTACATCTATCACGGAGAACACCTTATTTAGCCAATCAGTATACTTTATTAGCTGGCAACACAACAATGCATAGTTATCAATAAAATATTCAAAAAGTTTATGTTTTAGTGAAATTTTCGTCTTGCACTCGCAGTCTTTTTGCAATTCCTGTAACATGCTTAAATAGAATTGCAGATATGAACAAAGAAATTGAACACAAAAATTCACTGTATACACAAGTACGCACATGATTGAATTACACAATATTGACACACTCAATTTAAAAAGTTTAAATGATGTTTAGCAACATTTAGTTGTATACATGGCCAAGAAACATGCGTTACGATATATATATATATATATATATATATATATATATATATATATATATATATATATATATATATATATATATCAATGCTAAAGTAAATTTATCTATATCTTAATCAATCATTGATTGCTAATTCATAAAATGTATCTACTACATACTTTTCTAATAAACTTATGCAGGCAAATTTCTGCAATACTCTTCATGAAAGCTAATCACGAGACGAATGGATATAGGGAAAAAAAGTATGTAACCTTATGATAAGATAGAGAGGTTAACCGTAGCTAATAAATGTTTAACATGGGATCTAGTAGGAATCAGTTGTCTAGTTAACTTAAATGTCAAAGGTTAAACAGCTTTTTATTTTTAAAAAAATAGTCCATATAAAACATAAATATGATTATAGTAATCATAAGATTCATGAAATATTGAATAAGTTACTTATAATTTGAAGTTAATTGTTATACTTCTTATGGGAAATAAAATACATGACCAGATATTCGTTTTGTTATATTATATAGATAAAAAAATAGATTGTTTAAATGAGTTAAAAGGTATTTTAAAAATAAATCACGAATCATATGATAAACTAAGAAATTGTAAGCAATTTAATTATTCACTAAGAAAGAGTAATAAGCCAACTCATGTAAACTAGTACATTTTATAATGTGTTTTATCAATTATATTTTGATATGAATTTGATAAATTGCAATTTCTTGAAAAATAATACTTTGTGATTGAAGATATTAAATAGAATGGGTTAGTATCAGTCACTGTGACGCATATGAATTCAATTTTGGTGAGACTATAATTTATGAACGAGCCAATCAGAAATGATTGAGTGATTTAAAGGTCACGGAGCCTATTTCAATATACAATGCTCATTCATGATCGGTTTACAGCTGATTTCAAGGAGATCGTTATATTTGAGCGACTACAACTGGTGGGATTGCTGGGAAGCTCATTTATTTGTGATTGCAATGTTCAAATGACTAATGGACATTGTACAGACTATCGTGACGATGTTGTTTTTCAATGTAATATATGTTGCTAAAACGGGTACTTTTTTTCACTCCATATCGATTGACATTAAGACAGGTTATGATAATTTTTTTAAACTGGATAATAAATGCACCATTAACACTGGCTGCAACCTTTGCAGATGTTACTGAAGCTTCGACACTTCAGTAGTATGAGTACTGTCGAGAAAATCGAGAAAATGCTTGAATCAGGAGAATCGTAGAAATAGACGAAACGTTCACTAGAAAAACGCAGATTTAATATAAAAAGTGTTAAATAAAACTGGGTATGTAGCATTTCCTTAAGTATACTGAGAACGTCTTCGGTATGTATGATAGACTGTCTCTAAACGATCACTTCCAGTGCGTGAGAAACCGACAAGCTACAACGATAATACCAATTATACGAGAGTATGTGCAGCTGGATACCACAATATACACGGGTGACCTACACTTGGTTACGTGTATCGTATCGCCGTTCGCAAGTGACATTTTGTAGACGCAACCGCGAGAATACACACAAATAATGCAGAAGCAGTGTGGTCGAGGCCAAAAGAATTTTTGTGACCTTGTCATAGCTCCAGAGGTCGACGATCATGGTGTCACATGAATGAGCCCCGGTACTGTATGCATTACGATTTCAGAGCTTCAGGGCCTTCTTTTAACCTTGGAAAGTGTTCAAACGACGCCAAAGAAATGTATACACTCTAATTCTTTAGTTTTGTAGAATGTATTCTTGCTCTATACCAGCTGTCTTCTGATTGGCTGAAATTTCACAAGGTCACTCATCATCCATTGATAAGTCATCTATAAATTATAGTTTCGCCTCACTCTTTATTTTATTCTAGATGGTGAGTTCAAATACTCCTTCATACATATATTTTCATCCCGTCTTATGAAAACATTTTACCAAAGTTTAATTTCTTATTGTCATTGTTCCAACATTATTCCTTTTGATATTGATCTGATTTATTTTATTTTGTAGTGTTAATGTGGTGTGGGATATTGAGCTAAAACATATTTGTCCCAGGCGTTGAGATGATTAATAGTGACTGATTGAAAAGTTTAGAAGTATGTTACATCACATTTTTAGTAATAACCCAATAAAACTCCTTTTGTTTTAGATAAATACCAAATAAAAGTAGATAATTGTTACAGTGTTAAGTATTTTGTTCAATATTTAACATTTATGCGAGAATCCAGTAATTAGTTTTTTTCTGAAATATCAAATCTAATTGCCATGGATGTAATTTTTAATTGATTTATCAGTAATTTCATTACGTGATAAAATTAACTTTATATTGAAGTTTTTATTTAGTTAAGGGTCATTTTCGGTTGGATCTTGCCTATTTAAGTCAGTTGTACACAAAATGAAAACTGAGTATTTTAGTATCATTGTAAACGACAGATACAACTCTGATCAATACTGTACTGAATATTTAGTAAATCTCAGTAAACTATTTATTATAACATTATAATAGTTAACAATTAGTCAATTAGTACGCTTCATTTACAACAACGACATCATGTGATTCTTATTTTTACATGGAAGAAGAAAAACAGTCAAGTCATTCAGTGTGTTTTGAAGGGACTAGAAGGAAAAAAGGTCAAACTTGTATTCAATCATTCATAGACCAAAGTATTACACTGGTGCATTCGAATCATTCAAACCTAATTAAAAGTTAACCAAATCAAACTTCGAAATAGTTTGCATCATAGACTAACTTCATCTAGTGAAACCTTGAAAACTAAAGAGCACTAGGCAATTGTTTTATTCCCTCAGTTACGTGTAATGACATATTATGGGTCGAATTCAGGACCATCAGGTCTGATAGGTAAAGCCAACTTTAGATTATCTATTCAATGTCCAATCATCCATACTTCCAAGTTCACACAAATTAATTTAATTGATTACAACTTTTATTCTCCTGTAAAGCACAAAACGTTCACTGTGCGAATAGCTCAATCCGATTGCAATAAACATAAGGGTATGAAGATGTTGGCATACAATGAATCACCTACGTCATAACTTCAAAAAAAAAACGAAATAAACAAATCAACAGATTTTGTTGTTATTGTTTTTATCAATGTAGGCTATGAAGTGAAAAAAATGAAGATAAAAAAGGACTTAATAATCAATTTTTTCCACTGATGATTAACGATTTAATAAAAAAACAGAATTTTCGATAAAAACAGACATGCAAGGATGTGATCCTCATAATATTTTTAAAAAAATATAGCGACGAATGTCTGTGCTTGCATATACATATATAGATATGGACGTTTATGTTGTGCAAGTACTTCGATTGCAATGATTCATCATTAGTCATAGGGTTACTATTTATTATATACAGGTTGAAATACAAACTAGTTGTCTATGTAATATTTGTATCGGTGTACAGATGTGTTAGTGTATGTATGTTGTTAGACATACCTGGGGTACTTTAAAATTGTGTCCAAGGTATAATTTAATTATTTCTGTATGCATGAAACCAGAAGTTTAATCGAGTTTAACTAAAAATCTGAATTAAATAGATCTAACCCAATACGTGTTATATGATCCTAAATATTTTGAAAACAAGACCATTATATGACATATACATTTAATGAATAGAGACACAAAATAAATAGAAAACAGACAAAAGGGTTTATTAGTGTACATTTATCTACACTAATAATACTGAACATTTCAGTTATGATAAAGTCATTAAAAGTATTACAATTTTTATAGCGATGTCATTAATTTCTTCAGAAAATCAATATTTTCTAGAAAGCCAGTGAAATAAATTATTGGAAGGCAATTTAATAACAAAAAATCTAGTCACCAGTCTAAACACTATATAACATTGTAATTAGTTGTAAGTACAAGTTATTGATCCTCTATCTATTGGATCTTTTTTCTTACAACTTAGATTGACAATATTATTTTTGACATCTTAAGCCTTACATCGTTTGATCATTGAGTTTTAACCTAAATCAAATTATTAAGTAATTAGCATTAAGTGAATTTTAACAATTACATCATAATGCAATTAATGGATCAAGTGAATTGAAATTGTAGCCCACATTTTAAATGGTTATAATTAATAGAGTGAAAATGTTTTGCGCGGTCTTAAACATTGGGCCATATTAATTCGACTCTTTAAAAGAGTGAAAGTTTCTTCAAAATTCAGACATTTTTCCTGGTGATTTCAAATTTATATAGAATCTTAGTCAAAAGCTTTTTTCCACTTAATCATCTAAAGTTCCATATTTCCTTTCAAGCAATTCTTATTCTAGAATATATCTTATAGTAAAAAAATTGGCAGCTAGGTACATGGAATATATGGCGTAATCATATCAACATTGTAAATAATTAAACGGAATATCTTTCCAACATGAAAAACTTCTTCAAAAGATTTAACAAATAAACAAAACATTTGTAGGCTTTGGGATTGAATGGATGAAGAAATAACAATATAGGATAATTTATTGAATAGTGATATTTGTTATTTAGAAAAAAATAGCTATGGTGAATGTCTTCATAGTGGCTTAATTAATCAAATAAACTTATTTGAAATTATTTTGAATTTCTATCCTCTCGTTTAAAGAAAAGAAAAGTAAAAACAACAATGTTTAATATTAAATTAACAAACCTCGACAACTGCTTCTCCACAATAACCACATCTAGGTGAGAACATTTGTAGATGACATTGAGTACAATAAGCTTGATCATCACGTTCATAGAAATCTTGACGAACTAAGCCAACACGACAACTAGCACAAGTGAAATATTCCGGATGCCATTCTTTACCAATAGCTGTTATTAACTGTTAAATATATTGGAATAGTAAAAACAAATACAAGATATCGGAGTAGATTTTATGTATATATGTAAGCGAATCGAATTGTCTATTTTAAATCTTCTATAAAAGTACCTAATTTCTTGCATGATAAATTCCTAAGACTTTAATGCTGTAAAAAGAAACATTGATAGAGTAATTGAGTTTCTTAATACAAAATATTTTAATAAATTATTTTACACCTCTTATAAATGTTTACGTTATATCAGATAACAATAGATTATTGGATTTCTGATGTAATCAACTCATAAATTGTTGTCATTAAAATGGATAAAATAATAAATAATCACTATAAAATGATCTTAATAATGCTGACAATAACAGTTCATATCAGTAATGAAAAAGTAAGAAATATAATAAAAAACTTAAATGGTTAGGATGGTAGGGCCTCAAACGGTCAAAAAAATAACGATAAAAATTGTTAGGGTAAATAAGTGAAGTAAAGTACAGTTAACTGTATTAGCATTTTTAACTATATTTTCAGTTAGGTCTCCATACCAATTGTATAGATTTTATTATTGTTAACGTTATCACTATCATCATTATTGAAGAGAGCTAGAGAAATCGTTTGAACAGAATATCATGAGTTCATATTATTTCGTTTGGTTCTTGTCAGCTGCTTAAAACCTGTGATATATAAAAATTATAATTACAAAATGAGTTTAAATTACTTACATGAAAGATTTGAAGTGGAAGTTACGAAGATTCCACATCAGTAAAGCACATCAGTAAAGGGTGTAAATAAATTTAACAGACTGAGTAGAATATTGTAGATATATACCTTACGCAAAAGAATATTCCACATAGCTGGTAGTAATTAATGTCCAAAGGGCTAGAAATAAGTGGTTACTCAATGAGTAGACATTATACTAAGTGAGAATAAAATGAATAAAGCTCAATTAATTAAAATAAGACTTAATAGTTGAATTCATGAGTCAATAAAAGCTAGACCACCATGGAAAAACTGGAAGCACTGGGTGGTCATTTCAGCAGTGGGCATTCACGATGCCGCTCGCAGGATTCAAACCCAGGACCTCCGGCCTCGCATATGAGCGCCAAAACTCTAGACAAATGAATCGGCATCCAACGGTGTTAATGTCTAGTGCTTCCAGGTTTTCCATGGTGGCTTAACTTTAATCGACTCACGAATTTAACTATTAAATTACTAAAATCTCCATAAAACCCCTTTCTGATAAAATAAAGTCACTAATCTCGGAAACAGTCAAAATAAAAAAGATGTAATCATGTAATCAGTTAGAGGAAAGAATTGAACAAAACTTTTTACGATATAATGGAGGAATATTTGTCACCAATGCAAAAAAAGATAAACAACACTCTCCATTTTAACACGTCATATAAGGTTTTTCACGAGTGATAGCAACGTCTTCAGTGAACTTTAAAAGACTGGAGCTTGGCTATTTATCAATCACCTGATATCCTGTATCCACGAGATGTTCGGTAACTGCGCCGTTTAATGTAGTTTTCTTTCTAGTCTGAAGACTTTTTGGAACATATTAAAAATTCCAATATATACCCTTCTTTCTGTTGTCAGTTTAGATACTTCAGCAAGTACACGTAACTTTATAAACACAGTTGGCGATGACATGAAAAGTGTTTGTCGACGTTTGACTGCCTTAGTGAACATGTTGTTTTACACAGCATTGTTAGCTTTGCTGCCTAGTACATTCTGGCCAATGCAGTTTTAAGCCTACTGATGATTGCCCTTACTATAACACCACCTTTAAAGCTATGATTTATATATACTGGTTTTTCTTGACTACAGTCACACCCATCTTGTTTTTTAGATTGTTTTAGATTTTTCGAAAACTTTCTGTGGGCAGCAGATATTCCCTAGACATTTTCCACGTTCATCAATTCTTTTTACAGTTCACCGGTGGTACACATCCTCTCTACTCTGTAAAATAGTGTTTCGACCACCGCTTCTTTATAAATGACTGGAAAAAAGCTATTGAAATTCAGGTAAAGACCATTTCAAGAACTTTTTCAATTAACTTAACGTTGAATTATTCTGTTTTCCTTTAGTCGTATAGCAATGACAAGAAAGTTGAACATGTCATTCTTTTCGTGCTCTATAGTAAATTGTTAGAATGAGCATTGTTAAAGAGTTCTTACAGGCGAATTGAATATTGTTTACTATTGCACACAATAGACGTATAATCAACATGTCTGGAGTATTCCGTTGTTTCTTTATTCTCTGTGTTTTCAAAATAACCCATAAATATATTTGCCATAATTGGACCCAGTGGACTTACTATTATTGTCATTATTCTAAAAAAACATTTAATGCTTTAGAAACATGTTATTGATTTAAAGTATCATAAAGTGAAGTAGTCCATTGTTTGACACACAGAAAGTATTTCAGTTAGTGATTTAAATACAGACTGTTTAACCGAAATTGGAAAAAAAATACATACTGTATTTTATGAATAAAACAATCAAATATTATTAGAATCAATGTAATCAGTAGACTATATGTAATCGAATTTAAATTTACCGTTCCATTTATAGGCTTTTTACAAGCATAACACTGTCCACGAGGATTAGTTTTTGCACCATGCTGAGATAGTTCAGACGATAAATCATTAAGCATTGAATTTAATAGTTGAGTTGGACCTTGTTCTGTAGATGAAACATTGTTGATCTGATCGTATTTCGGTGGTATTACACGTTTAGCATTATGCCTTTGTAATCGTGCAGTAATGTTCAAATTATCAGTATTTTGATTAATTTTATTATCATGATGCTGATCATAATTATAACTTCTGTTAATATCTACTGTCATACTGTTAGTATTGATACTGTTAGTGCTAATATTAGTACCAGATTTATGATTTGATGTTGTAGAAGACTTATGTGAAGGTGTTTGTGAATTTGTTTGATGAATATCCGATATTGAATTATCAATGAATGAATTACTCATACTATTCAGTAGTTCAGCACCAGAATCGCTTTGATGATTATTGATCTATAGGCCAAACAAAAAGCAAAAACAAATATCTACGAAAATATTTTTTTCATTTTACCAGTCATATTCACGAAGTATAATTCTGTTCAAAGTACAAGTATCAATTATCTTTGTGAAGTGATGTAAAAGTAACGTGGTTTTATTTCAAGTAATCATTGTTATGAATGCATACTGAATGTTTTCATATCGTTTAATATAATATTGTCCGTGTAAAAACTTTAGAACTTTGGATAATACACTTGTGAATGATGAGTTTTGTTAATTTCATTGGTTTGATCACGAGTTTATTATTGGATTCGATGACTTTTATGGAAAAAGATAAAATCTGATGCTCATTGGCGATTCCATTAAAAAAAAAGCATTAGCCTGGGTAAATTAAATAAAACTAGAAAATAAGATAACCTTTGGTATTTAAAGTTGATATTTATTTTGTTCATTAAATGTTCAATTGTAAAATAGCATTTAAAGCAAGAAATTTGAACACACACTGTAGGATAAAACGGCTGTACAGTGCTTCCAGGTTTTCAATAGTGGTCTAACATTGATCAATTCATGAATTTAATAAAAACTCAACAATCTCCACAACCCTATACTGATAACGCTACATTATATGAAATCTACTGTTAAAACACAACGTCTATAATCGATAAAACAGCCCAGATTACATCTTGTAAACTGAATGTACAACCTACTTATATCAGACTTAACTTTTGATAAAGTATAGAAAAAAAAGCTTTTAATAGCATTTGCCAATTTATTCAAACATGCATTTTATAAACCATCAAAATTGAAGATTTAATTTGATCTTAAAAAAAGATTCATAAATAATATGTATGTATTCATTGATATAAGTTACGTGTTCATATTGGAATGATTGAGAGAAAGAAAAACACCGCCTAATGATTTAAACGATTATACACGTATAAAATCATATGATATTTGACTGTTAGATAGTTGTTTCATAAATAAATACCAAATATATTTCGATGAAATAGTTACAGAAAGTGATGATGAAACATACAGAAAAATAGTCCGGGTTAATTTATGTGGAGGAAAAATAACTCGTATGTGTACAATGATTTAGTACAATAATTACATCATGATTCCTGTTTAATACTTATCTTTTTATAATAAGTAGGTCTTTTTTTTCAATTTCCTTTAAAATCTTTTCAACGTCAACATATAATCACTCTAAATGACAGCCGGGAAGTATAAACTTTCCTATCAGTAATCGTTTTCGAAGGAAAATATACATTAACGAAATAACTGTTTTTGTGATTACACTATGACTATCTTCAGTTTATTTAATACAGCTGATAATTACATTCAAGTTTATCTGTGTTCCCATTTGGTTACTTAGTGATACAAAACAATTTTTGGTATTCATGAAAATCGAGAATCGACAAGTCTTTCGGTTTTGATAACCTAATATCTATTGCCTAAATATAGAAATGAAGGAAATATGTGTCATTGATATGGAACATGGTTTGAACTTTCTCAACTAATGTCTTTCACATATTTTATTATCTGACAAAAATAGAACTGATATAACTTATATCTGATTGGTAATGAAAAAAAGACTAAAAATACTTCACATGCATAATGGCAATTCAATATCTAGATGTAATGTAAACTTGACTTATGACTACCTTTGATGAAAGCTTATATTTCACCATATTACATAACTCTAAACATTATTGGCAATAAATTTAAAACCTGTTTATAAATACTAATGAGTCTTTGATATTGATATATAAATATCAGACTACATCTTGTTTAAAATAAATAGTACTTATCAGCTCATTTGGTATCATTATTAATTCTTTCCATACCCGTCTGAGATTGGTGAACCGAATTGGAATTTTATGAAAATTCTAGAAGTGCTTTAATTAACTGGCGACCAGAAGTGTTGGACTCACCTTAATTTATAGCTTATTTATGAGCTTTGGTACAACCAATGCAACTGAGATAAAAAATATTTAATTCTGAACTTTGAGTATGAGTTTGAGTACATGAATAAATAAAAATCAATGATTTAACACTTATTTAGCGCATTCCTTTAATGAACCTAGTAGATGGCTAGTTGCCATCACCAACTCGGAGTACTGCACTTTTATGAATGACGTACAACCTTACAGTTATTACAGAGCTGTGACCAACTAAGTAATATTCCAAAAGATTTTTCATTTGGTTGAGTGGCGTTGAAGTATTGTATGAAGCCGTTTTTCTTAAGCGACCAGATATCAATACCTTGTAAAATTAGTGACTAAAGCTGAGAAATTATTGATCCAATGATGAATTAGTTACCAGAAGATCAAAATAGGCATAGTTATTATTATTATTGTTAATGGCTTTCTTCAATATTATATGTTAAGTACAATATAGAATTCCCAGAACACGTGCTTTTACTTGGAACAATATATAACACCTCTTGAATATTAATGACATGATAACCAGAATTTTTCGCAGCTAGTTTGCTGTATGTGACAATAAGTTATTTCCTATGATCGACAATAAACAGAATATAAGTGGAATAGCTGTGGTAGTATGACATTGACTTTATCACCACTGCTTTTCATAAAACACGAATCCTATACCTAGTCCAATAGATAAAATACATGAAAATACTGTTAGAAGTTTTATAAAGGAGAGTAAGTCATTGTTAACTACCACGCAAAGTTTCCATAAATGATTAAAGGGCAAGGATAAAAATAAATACAGGAAAACAGGAGTGGTGGATCTTGCTGACTAACTTTCGTATAACTTATTGGTAAGGTATTTATCCAAAACTAAATTGGAGTTTGTTTGATTTGCTATGTTTAGTCTGGCAACAAACTTGAGAAACCATAGCACAGTAAATGACAATCTCAGGCTGTTAATTCATAAATGGGACCTCGTAAACAAGACAACAGGATTTAAGATGATTATTAGTGATAACTAAGGCAATATAAATCAGAAATATATATAAGTGATCACTGCAAAGACATGAGTTTCTGAAAGTATCATAATATCTTTCAGGGATAACAGCTGACATCTTGTAAAATTGAATACTAATATCTCTCTCAATGTTTTCTGAACGTGTGGCTCTGAATAAGCTTTAGTTCATATGTTACAAGATAACTAGATTGCCTAATACCATTTTCTCGATATTTAAGTGGTGGCATTTAAATAACTATGTTCATGTTCAGAAACCCAAGAGTTTTCGTAGAAATCACCACATGTGTTATTCAATACAGGTGTTCAAATTGATCCTGGATGTGATCATAATTTCACACTACTAAATAGTTTGAAACTAAGGTAAAACAACTGCTTATGCTCACTGTTGTAAACAGTTCTTCAAATGATTGTATTTTAGTTAGGGAAATTATCCCTAATCCACGCAACTTATTAGTACTAAATTAGAATACGGTTGAAACAAGTAAAACTTAAAGGTTGTGGTTTCTGTGAACTGGTATAAATATTGGACTTAACACTATGGAAAGGAATCTGATGAGAAACGCTGATGTTTTTTCTTAGTAACTTGTCATAAAGTTCTAAACATTGAAATGATTTAATTCAGTATGTTTAAATATTTTCATAGTTTAAATCACGAGTCAATATGAACTAGAGCATCAGTGAAAACCTGGATGCACCGGGCGGTTGTTTTGATCTAGTGTCGGGCTACACAGCAGTGCACATTCACGATCCCGCACTCAGGACTCGAATACAGGACCTTTAGTCTTTGGCGCGAACACTCAACCTTGAGACTGCTGAGAGACATAAAACGATGTTAATTTCCAACTTCAAACAATTCATGATCTTGCGCAACTCTTCATTCATTTCCAGAGGTGAATAACGGTCTCACACATTACATGGGTTAGACTCCATTGGTCATGGATAGTCACTAGAACCCTAGGAGTTACATTTTGAAGCAAGTTACTAGTGAGAACATGACATTTAAATATCTAAACGATAAGCAGCAATTTTAGTCGGACTATTAGTTGGCTCACTTTGAAAACTACTGTAGTAGTGTTTTAGAAATGCGAATGAAATTTCTAATTTCAAAGCACTTGTAACCATGCTGTGACCTACATGGAATCTGGATCTATGTACTGATGCGATAAATTATCTTTACTATTACAAGCCATTTAGTTTTGAACTGACTATTCGTGATTTTTATGAATAATAGTTTAAAGTGAATTAAATATACCAATCTTCTTTAATCTACTATATCATATTTTTAATTTATTCCAACCATAGGCATAGAAAATGTTCAATCTGATAAAAATAATTTACAGTTATAAAATTAAGAGCCATCTACCACAAACTGTAGAAGTACTCAAGTCGATCACTCTTAGCCTGACAATGGAACAAAATTAATGTGCAAAATGTCAACCAATTCAGCATTCCGTTATGTCAGGGTAAACGTATATTATTGTTTTGGTTATCATTCTCAAACTCAGTTACATATTTTACCACACAATTCTAACTTCAAATTGTCATAAGAACTTTGATGCTTTGTATCTTAAAAACAAAACAAAGCAAGAACAGTTGACCTGTAAGGACTGATGAACAAACATGATTAACCGATTATTTTGACAGCGCATTAATATATTTTATTTACAAAGAAAAAGCATTGATAAAGTTCACCTTCAAAGAATTTATTCGAAGGTTTTACAATAGCATATAAATCAATAAACATTATACTTACGCGATAACAATAAAAAAGAGAATGTGATGGGGATTCTTATTTTGTTGACAATGATACCTTGATGTGTCAAGATAATTCTAAGAAGTGAATCAGATAACAATTTATTAAATTCCATGGTTACTTTGACAGCAACTAATTATATTACGCTAATGGATGCATAATAAAGATGAATCAAAATGAAATATGATTCATGGTATAGAATGCAAATAAAATAATCACTAAAAAGTAATATTCTGTGGATTGAATAAATGACGACACGATGATGGTAAGATGAAATAATAAATGGCTAGAATGGGGATTTGCGAAGATT